TCTCAAAAAAAAAAAAAAAAAAAAAATCTGGTCACCCTAGGTATGTATATCAAGGAGACGGCGTAAAGAACCCTGGGTCAAGTACCAGAGTTTCCTACCACTCCTTTGCTCAACTATTAGAATATCAGCTCCACGAGAATAGGGCTTGTTTTTAATCATTGGTTCTTCCCTGTTTGTAGTATTGCTTGGCACGTGGTTAAGCACTCAGTATTCTGTGAGTGACTCTTCCCAGTAGCGTCTCCCTACTCAACTTCTGGGGAAAAATGTCGCCTGAAAATATTCTGTTACATGCCTTAGTTAGATAGCCACATACGGGGAGTGTGTTACTCTTTATCCAGAGGGAGTAGCAAAATTTTTGTTTTGGGGGTTTTGCTGACTGGTTTGAAGCAGATTATTTTTTGTTTTCAAAGCTCTGTGTTTTAAAAATAGAGGCAGATTTATTCTAGGCTTATTTGTGAAACAATTTAATGGGTCTTCATTTCTTTTAGGTATATACAATAAATTTGGAGTCTCGGTACTTATTAATACAAGGAGTTCCTGCAGTGGGAGCCATGAAAGAACTGGTGGAACGATTTGCTCTATATGGTGCAATTGAACAGTATAATGCTCTAGATGAATACCCAGCAGAAGACTTTACTGAAGTGTATCTTATTAAGTTTGTGAACTTACAGAGTGCAAGGTAATATGCAAGTTAAGCATCCTGTCTTGTTTTTGTCATTCCTAGTGCTATCATTTTGGCCCCAGGTTTCCCTCCTTCATACCTAAATTACCCAGTAATTAGAACCCTGGGTCAAGTACCAGAGTTTCCTACCACTTCTTTGCTCAACTATTAGAATATCAGCTCCACGAGAATAGGGCTTGTTTTTAATCATTGGCTCTTCCGTGTTTGTAGTATTGCTTGGCACATAGTAAGCACTCAGTATTCTGTGAGTGACTCTTCCCAGTAGCGTCTCCCGACTCAACTTCTGGGGAAAAATGTCGCCTGAAAATATTCTGTTATATGTCTTAGTTAGATAGCCTTACATTCCTCCAGTCTTTTTAAAGATTAAACTTACCAAAGCACCATTCCCATCACAGGATTAGCAGTTTTTGTGCTTCAGTGTGATGGATTAAAAATTGGGTTTGGAGTAGCATTTCCGTTCCACTCCTTCCTGGTTTGTTATTAAGCTTGCTTTTCATTTTCTGTAAAAGACCTATTGAGGTTGTATGACAAACCCTCTGCTCCAGTAAAGCTAAAGTTTGTCATAGCTTTTTTGTAATCTATTTTTATGTTGACCCAGTTCTTGTCACTAATCTGCTCTGGGACCCATCCTTTCTTGGCTATTACAATTCATGTTTTTGTGCTATCAGTAAAACTATAGTCTACCACAAGGCACTTGACTTTATGGGGTCATGTGGTGTTCTCAGGTTGCTGGTTTTTGTTTTCGTTTTTTAAGAGACAGGGTCTCACTTTCACCCTCAGTAGAGTGCCGTGACATCACAGCTCATACAGCCTCCAACTCCTGGGCTTAGGTGATTCTCTTGCCTCAGCCTCCCAAGTAGCTGGGCCTACAGGTGCCTGCCACAACACCCAGCTATTTTTTTGTTGCAGTTTGGCTGGGGCCAGGTTCAGAACCACCACCCTTGATATATGGGGCCAGGGCCCTAGCCACTGACCCACAGGCACCGCCCTCAGGCTGCTGTTATATGTGATCTCACTTCCCCTAACCAACCTGACAGTTCCCTATGGTTAGGGAAGCATATTTTCTACAGATTTGTATTTTCCACAGCACCTACTCTAGTAGGCTCTGGAGTAAGACATCTGGCTTTAAATACTAGCTGCACAAATTAGTGTATGAGCATGGCCAAGTTATAGAATGTTTCAGTATTTCAGTTGTTGTGAGGTATTAATTCAAATGAAACACTTGTGACATTGCTTGGCATATGTTAGAGATTCATTATCCCTAAATACAGAAGTACTTAAATTTATCATGCCTGGCCAGTCATAGATGTTCAGTAAATATTTATTGAATAAATAATGTTCTCATTTTCTCACTGCTTAGTTGTGAAAATTTTATAATTATAATTTTTTTTTTTTTTATTGAATGGTAACTGTGTACATTAATGTATTTCTGGGGTACAGTGTGGTGTTTTCACACACAATCTGAAACACTTCTATCAAACTGGTTAACATAGCCTTCATGTCATTTTCTTAGTTACTGTGTTAAAACGTTCATATTCTACTCATAGGTTCACTTATACCCAATTATAGTGTTTTTATTTAATTTTTAAAATATGTGACTCCCAGTATAGAAACACACTTTGCTGAAAAGGCTAAAATGGATACAAATTAACTCTCAAGGGCTATTTAACTTAACCCAGAGATGAGCTCTATTTTATGACCAGAGTTTATGTATTTCAGGCCAACCAGCTACGTTCTTAAAGAGAGTCTGGATATGTCTAGGTGGCTTAGGTCACGACTTGCTAACACTGTTGGGAAAAGGAAGGGAAGGGAAGACTTTAAGGCAGTGGTTCTCATCCTTCCTAATGCCATGGCCCTTTAATACAGTTCCTGTGGGTCGTGACCCACAGGTTGAGAACTGCTGCTCTAAGGGTACACACTGGGTCAGTAAGATCATACTGTCCACAAGCAGAACATATGAATTACCAGTCCCTAAGATGTATATAATATAGCAAAGCTGGACTTTTCCCTTTAGATCATGTATCTATGTATTATATACAGGTTAAACTTTCATCCTAAGTAAATTTAAATTAATAAACCATGCTATCACATATTTCTGTTCAGGACAGCCAAGAGAAAAATGGATGAACAGAGTTTCTTTGGAGGATTGCTTCATGTATGCTATGCTCCAGAATTTGAAACAGTTGAAGAAACTAGAAAAAAACTGGAAGAAAGAAAGGTATATATAGGAAGAACTACTAAAAATAAAGGTACGGAAAGCCTGTTACGAAATGCTTCCTCCATGTCAGGCACTCTGCTAGGTATACCATCATGCAGGTCCCAGTCTGGTGAGAAGACAGGCAAGTAAATAATAATCGCAATATTCAATAAGTATAAACTACAGGGTTTTGTGCAGTGTACTGCATAATCTGGGCTGGGAAGGGAGAGATGTTCATAGAAAACTTCCTACAGGGCAGCTCAAAAAAGTAGGGTGCTCACCCCATATACTGGAGGTGGCAGGTTCAAAGCCAGCCCCAGCCAGAAATTGCAAACAAAACAAAACAAAAACTTCCTACAGGACGTGAGGAGTGGCTGAATCTTGAAGGGTAAGTAGACTTTACCCAAAGGGAAAGGAAGGGATAGAAAGGTTAGACAGGCAGCATGTTTAAATATCAGAGGAATAAATGAGCATCTTGTATTTAAGGAACTATGATTAGTAAAGTATAAACAGAGCACCGAGGTTTCGGTGAGAGAGAAGTTTAGAAAAGTGGCTGAGAAATGAATCATGAAGGGCCTTGTGTGCCATGTAAGGAATTAAGACTTTGACCTGAAGGCATATGAAAAACAATTATGATTTGCATATTAGTTTCTATCTGCTAGTCATGGAAAAATTCTACTTTTGGCCAGCTGGCTAAATGTCCCACCTACTTCTGTAATCAGTCACAAGCTTAGAAAACATACCTAAAATTCTGGCAAGAGAGCTGTTGAGAATGCCTGGTCACATTTAGACATTTAACTTGTGAGATTATGTAAATAACTGGCATCAGAAAAACTTGCATGTTTATGTAGCAAAGGAAATTACAAAGTATTAGTCTGGAGAAAGACCTTTCAGATTATCGACTTGTGTTCTAATTTTGATAGGTGAGGAAACTAAGGCTCCGAAAGTTTGTAACTGGACTATATCATTAGAGATAAATTAGAAGCAAAATAAAAGATTAAAACCCAAGTCTTTAGATTGGTGATTCAAACCTGTGGATCGTGACCCCTTTGGGGGTTGAACAACCCTTTCACGGGGATTGTCTAAATACATCCTGCATATCAGGATCCTATTTACATTATGATTCATAACAGTGGCAAAATTACAATTAGGAAGTAGCAACGAGAATAATTTTATGGGTGGGGGGTCCCCACAACATGAGGAACTGTATTAAAGGGTCATGGTATTAGGAAGGTTGAGAACCACTGCTTTAGATTCTCTGTCCAGAGCTTGATTTTTGTGTTAATTCATCTCAGTGTCTGTGACAGCAAGCTAGTATTATCTTTGTTCTTTGCTCTCCTCCTTTTAAGACCTTTTTGCCTTGCTTGTTGACTTTCTAAGAATTAGATTCACTGTTGCTCCGGGTTTAAGTGGCGCTGTGATGCAGTTACTCTGATTTGTTTGGCCTCCATTCTAGCAGTCCATCAAGCTCTTGTTCATCTGCAGCATTCTAGCATCTACTTGGTATATTTGTATATTTAGCCTCATTTTTAAAGAACTTATTATGGAAATTTCAAAACATACAAAAGTAGAGAGTACAATAATGTACATCCCATGTAACATCCATCAACATGTAGCTAATTTCATCTTTCCGTACCTTCCACACTCCACTTTGGGGGTGCAGTCTGCCTTTGGGAGGGTAGACCAGGGAAGAGGCGTATGTAGGCCCTAAAAGTGGGCCCAGGATATTGCTTCCTTTAATAACTAAAAACACAAACTAAATAGCATGATGTATTCATGTAGTCAAATGCTCTGAAACTGTTGAAAAAGAAGCTTTATTTGTGTGACATGGAAAGACTCTCTAAGACAGGCGTCCTCAAACTACAGCCCACCGGCCACATGCAGCTCGCCTAGGACATTTGTTTGGCCCGCCGGGTGTTTTTGCCTCGGTTGCCTGTCCTGCTTAGCAGCCGACTCATCCCAGGGCCTGCAGTCTGGCCCTCCAAAAAGTTTGAGGACCCCTGCTCTAAGATCTACAGTTAAGTGGAAAATGCAAAGGTGCAGAGAAATGGATTTTCTAGGTTACCTTTTGTGGGAAGAAAAAGAGATACAGGTAGGAGGGGGAAAAAATAAGACATACTGGACAGACAAGAAAGAATAGCAATTGCTTAGTGGATGTGGAAACCAGGTCTGTGGGGAGCAAGGAAAGGATGAAGCTTGATACCAGATACCTTATTATCCTTTTTACCTTTCAAATAGATGAATTTATGAATGTATTCCCTGCCCACGAAATAAAGTTTTTGGAGTAGCATGTGTTAACATTTTAAATTGACGTTTGTTTTTAAAGTTGAATTATTTCTGAAAGATGAAAACAGTAAGTGAACTATTTGTTTCTCTTTCCCTCACCTTTACGTTGTAATACAAAGATCATTACATGACAAAAAAGAAGCTGGTTGCGGAGCATAAAGACACAAAAGATTTTCGACAAAACATTGATTCAGAGATGTCTGGATATTGTGCAGCTGCTTTGAATGCTCCTACAAGAAACTCAAATCCTTGTCTTCCTTATTCTTGTGAATTGCCTTTATGTTATTTCTCCTCAAAATGTACATGTTCATCCAGAGAGCACATGGACAGAGCATCGGACTCCTCTAAGGATGGCGGAAACTGTGATCAAACAGTGGAGCATTGTTACCACAGTGACTCTTTGCAGAAAATGCAGGTGAACACTTTGCAAAACTCAGGGGCCTGCTCTGCTACACAAAAATCTATTACTTCTTCACACGCAGTTGACAGATTTATGCCTAGGACAACACAACTTCAAGAGCGGAAAAGGAGGAGAGAAGACGACCGTAAACTTGGAACTTTTCTTGAAACAAGCACAAGTAGAAATGAGGTTATGATTGGGCCTCTATTACCAGACATACCTAAAGTGGACATGCATGATGACTCGTTGAATACAACAGCAAATCTAATTCGGAATAAACTTAAAGAGGTAAGGTCACTTAAAAAAAACTGTTTATGGAGACAATTTGGCTATAAGACTAGAAAAGCAAATGGGGAATTGTGGTTACTATAATATTGTAAAAATTTTTTTCACTTTTACGGTTTTTATTTCGTACTGTTTTTCTGTTGAATTAACTGAATTTGACTAACATTTATTTGCTTTGGTACTGAATCCTTGCTTTAAACAATCTGTGACACTGGAGCCCAGGGCCTCCTTTTTTTTTTTTTTTTTAAATAAGTTTCCTAGATCTAAATGTGAGCCGGAATTGATAAGGAAAACTATTATAAATTGTTTTTCTTAAATTCAAAGTTATTACAGATTATATCATAGACAAAGTGGTTATTTTGCTATCTTAACAAAGATAACAGTAAGGCCAGGCGTGGTGGCTGACACCTATAATCTTAGGACAACTTTGCAAGGGCTAGGATTGCTTCAGATCAGGAGTTTGAGACCATGATGAGCAAGGAGGAGACCCCCATCCCCACCAAAATAGAAAATTGGCCAGGTGTGGTGGTGCATGCCTATAGTCCCAGCCAATTAGAAGGCTAAGGCAGAAGGATTGTTTGAGCCAGGAGTTTGAGGTTGCCACGAGCTATGATGACACCACTGCACTCTAGCCCAAGCAATGAGTGAGAATCTATCTTAAAAAAAAGAAAGAAAGAAAAAAAATTGATGAGATTTCTAAAGATTGGGCCTCCAAGTCTACATTTCAGATGTAAACTTCTTAATTAGAAGAAGAAGTTAGAAGAAGTTAATTAGACCTAGATTGTGTTATCTAGGTAGATTTTTTTCAAAATGTTGAATAATCATTTTCCATTTCCTGAAAACAAATAAAGTTAGCATTTACGTTAGGTTTTTTTGGGTTTTTTTTTTTTTTTGAGACAGAGCCTCAACCTGTCCCCCTAGGTAGAGTGCGTGGCATCACAGCTCACAGCAACCTCCAACTCCTGGGCTCAAACGAGTCTCCTGCCTCAGCCTCCCAAGTAGCTGGGACCACAGGCGCCCGCCACAATGCCCAGCTATTTTTTTGGTTGCAGCCAGCATTGTTGTTTGGTGGGCCCGGGCTGGATTTGAACCCGTCACCTAAGGTGTATGTGGCTGGTGCCTTAGCCACTTGAGCCACAGGTGCCGAGCCTACGTTAGGTTTTGAAAAACACTTTATAAACTGAAGATCATGACCATTCCCTATATTTAAATCCAGCGTTTCAGAAAGTGCTCGTCATGTAGTTGCACATGTATTTTACAGTGTGAACAGGGGGGCCAA